AAATTTGTTATTATCCACTTTCCGGAGTATTTCGTTTCGTTTTGTCTCCCCGACATTGTGGCACCCCCCATTCTTTGCTTTTCTGTTCTGCGTCCTTGCTGGTGTCACGTTCCCGGCCCCACCGTGCACAATGCGGGTCCCTGTTCGTAATATCATCCGATGATATGCGATTCTATTCGAGTGAATCCGCGAAAGATGAAGTAGGTCACGTTGGGACAAGCATACTTGTGTAGAATGTATGTGTCATAGCCGAATGTCGTGCGGCTGTGGGATTCCCATTCACTGGTTCGGCTTGTTTTGGTGGTGGTACAGGAAACACCTGCAATGCAGGCTTGAAATGCGGGGAATGAATGGGCCGTGAGGCCGAGTGAGACGCCGTGAACATCGGTTGCTATACTCATAGGCTGGGCTGGCGTGCGACTGTTTTTGGAAGTTATCCGGGCGAGCCTCCGAAACCTGGTATTCCTTTGGGGATAACTTTAGCGTAGCTACGAACAAAGGATGGAGAAGTAGCTAAGTGACAACGGTTCTATCAGTAACAACTCCCTAGGCATCTAGCAGTTCTCCGGTCTATAACTGTCTGGTGCTCTAGCACTATTCATACTGGCGAATATAGGGTGAGCGGAAATAGGCCACTAGCGATTCAATATTGGCACGTATCCGGGCTCCGGAAGAGGGATATCTAAGGATGATCGGGGATCCTCCAGTCACAGTCCCCTGGCCTTATCATCGCCAATCACTCGGTTTCGGCAGACGGCCACCCCCTAAAACGGAGAGAGGCAGCAGCCGGGAGCAGCATACTCGAGTAGACAGCCCGAAGCCCCCAATTAAACGCTTTCGCTTGAGTCGGAAACCCTCCACGGGACGGGAGGAGTTAAGAAGAAAGCCCCCCTTATCCCCACCTATAGTGGCCAGTGAATGCGAATCACCGGAAAACCAGGTTCCAGTCAATATGCTTGGCTCTCTCGAGAGTCTAGACACCATCCCGAAGCTACGGTGGCCACTCTGTATCAATGAGACGCCACACTCTAGTTATTGTGCAATCAAATACCCGCTCGCGAACAGGGGGGCGGGAGAAACAGAAGACTGATAACATGGTAAAATCCTGGAGGTTGGAAAGGTAGCACAGAACTCATCCGTGGTTCGAGTTCCGGATGTGATACTTTATCAGCCGCAAGCCCCTCCACTACCGATATAGAAAGCAGGGCGGTGGTGTGAGACAGCTGTGACATCCATGTCTCCGCACACCCGGGGATAGATAACAGGAGGTTCGCATTTCGAAGCTCCTCTGCCACAGAAGTTGTTCCTTTGCGCTCTTATAGACTATCTCCACCCCCCCGCCCGCTTAGGACTCTCGAACTCGACAGCTTTCAACCTGGAAATAACACTCCTAGTCGATTTTAGCAAAGATCGGAGGATATTTATGTTTTGCGAGTCCCATACGGCATCGGAAAAATTCAAATGCTCGTACAGTACTGTGGCATTTGGAGGGGTGTCTCACCGCGGGTGTATTCAGATGGCGGAAAGAACACCGCACTGGTAACACACTGCACCCTTCGATCAGGGGTAACACAAACAAGATAAAGGAACTGACCCAATCTACCGATAATTCAAAGCAAACTATTTTCAGGGCATCCTCCGGACCGAGAGATACTAAAGCATTCGAAGGTTCGAGCATGGCCAAATCCATATGCACTTCTCAATCCATAGATATCGTTGCGGTGATCATTGGTTTCCCGGCATTGCGACGAGCTGAAGAGACATCTCGTCGCGGTATCCATATCATAAGTACCGGCGCTACTTGCCCCACAACTCACCCATCTCTTCAACTTTCCTCCCAAGCACTCACACCCAAGTCTCCTAGTTTATGGTATCTGCGTACTCGTACATACCGGTACTAGATGTGTAACCACATTGTTGTATATGCGTCGGTTCAACTTGTAATAAAATATGTTAATATCATTCTATCCATAATATGACACCGCCCGTAGCTTATCTCACATCATAGTTGACCCATATTCCTAGACTACCGGCAGCAGTCTTTCGTGTGAGTACTATAGGGGCTAGAATCCACGATTTGCCAAGCCTGCTTCTATCATACATAGATTTTGGTTTGCGGGTTAATATGGACCAGTGGTTTAGAGGCTCGGGGAAAATAGAAATCAAAAAAGACAGTTGCCCGAAAGCCAGTGGAGGGTGTTCAGTTTGAATCCCATGTCCTGAGGGTGTCATCCCTTAGTCCTTCGTGTGCTGTGTCCATGAGGGCTTATTCGGGAAAACGACGAGACCTCAAAAGCACCCTTCCCTAATTGGTATAATAACAAATTCAGTCCAGGTCTCAAATACCATCGGTTTTCAGAAAAAAATCCCCTCAGATGCCAGTATGCCCAAGTATCGCAGCAGATCAGTAGTCTAAGAATAGATCACAATTGGCCCACTGCCCGGAAAGTTTTCAAAGTTGCTGCGAAGATGGAAGACCAGTGGGTGGTACATGATAAGGAAACGCAGCAGAAGTCAATATATGCCCATATGGAACATTATTCTCCTAATATACTCTACAGGTACAGTATCATCTTCGAGTTTGTCAATTTTTACATTCCAATTTGGTCGTGTAACATGCCCTTGGATCTGATCAGCCATGAGAGACGCTCTGCCTTTCCACAACTTGCCCTCACCAAGAATGGTATACAGAACCGGAGGGCCCATAAAATTTTGGTCCTTGTATCGCTCGAATTGTGGACATGTTGGGCCACCGACCCCCCCGGAAGCAGTGACGGGCTATCATATAATGGATTCCTTCCCGCAAGCATTTAGAACAGATTTCAAAAAAAATTCAGCAGTTGGAAATGGTTATATTCATCAATCTATACCCAAAGCTAACAGAGTATGGTGGTTAACTATTGGAAAAGTGTCCTCCCCCATTGGCACAATATCACCGGTGGCCTCTACAGCTAACAGAATAAGTTCAAAAATATCTGGCCTGGCGCATGATGCCCTATGGATTCGGTTTTGCGGCAGTTGTTAGACTAAACGATAGGGATTCACGGAACTTGCCCAGTAATAGTAATACCCCTCCTGTTGGTGCGCCCATGCCGGGTAACATCCCTCCTTTCCATCCCCTCAGCCTTAATCCCTTAACGGCATAACGCTTTTAGTGATATATCATAGATACCTAATCGAAACTGGGGGAAGGAACAAAATTGTTTTTTGGTCACGGCCCCAGTGAAGCGTTCTGCACGAGTAAGGATTCACCATTTTTAACTTGGTTGCTGCAAGGCTGCAAAAGGTGCTATACATGAGGGGCAGAATAACTGCCGTCTTGAGCGCCTTTCCCCGGTGGAACCGCAATCACCTTAGGGTGGGGCACCCGAATTGTGAAAGACTCTTAAAATCCACTATCTCCGTGGCAGGTATTAACACCTATTTTTACTTAGGACAGGCTTAGTTCGACAGGTTAAAAACTAGCGGGTACCGGTTAATGAGATCCAACACACACTGGATGCTCAGACTTTACCGCCTGAAGAAACCAGTAATCCTTCTCAGGAGCACTTGACTCAGAATCGGGAGATAACAGTGGATTTCAAGAATTTTTACCGTACTGTAGGTTTATACGCTGGGAAGCCAAGAACGGCCAAAAGGTCGAGTCGCTATTTTATTTCGGTGCCAAGACTTCGTTTTATCTATCTCTGTGAGACTTTGGCCCAGGCAACCACACTCGCTACCTTACCCACGTTTTTCATTGGGGCGTGTGAGGGGGAGGGATGGGAAAGGGCTGGGGATGTACTGTACAGTATGCCACCACCATGCTGCAGATACTCAAGTGTTGCACCGGTCTGATCCCGAGGGTCTCGCTGCAACGGACGATGGCTGTGATGAGGGACAGTTAGAATTGTAATTATGATACGGGAGTGATGCGGGGGAATCAAGCATTTCGATTGCTACCTTCCCTGAGTAAACCTCTCCCGGTTCTACTGCATAACCGATATCGATAAACTCATCCGCAGAGAGTTAGATTGGATTAGGCAAGCAGCTCGGGGGACTGAATTTACATTACTCTACCTGGCACGGGTGCACTGCTTACGGTATGATACTGGAGCAGACCCTGTTATCAGATCTGAGGTATCATGACTAATCAACACTTCGAGATCAGAGCCTCCCGACACAAAAAAAAAAGTGGTGACCCGAACCTTCACCACCACAAGCAGCATAAAGCAGAAATTCTGCTGCAAGTCGCAATCCAACCACATCCCATTCCACCCCACCCCACCACCTTGAAACCGCCGCCAGAAATCAAGCTTACCTTTACCAGCACCCTTTCACTCCTCTCGCGTGTACCGTACTGTACCAGTGACTGTCCAGTGACTGGTTGGCCCATTAATACTTGGGACTCTTTCTTTCGGCTGCAGGTTCCTCTCTCTCCTCCGTCTTTCCATTTGTTTTATTTTCCTCCTGAGCATTTGTTTCCCATTGCTTCCTTCACCTCCCTTTCTATTGTCCGCAAATTCCCCGACCCCACGCTCTCCATCTGCTCTTTCTTTGTTGCGCCTACTTCGTTTCTTGGCTCTGCGGTAACCAACCACGTACCGAACTGTACGACACAACCTTCTCTCCTCTCCGCTGGCCAGCCCGCTGTTCGCCAGCTCTGAGCTGTTTCCTCGTTCTCCTGATCTACCTTGTTGGAGCGGTGAGGTGGACTTTTCCGCCAGGAGGGAAAGGGGGGGGGGGAATAAATATAACCTTTCGTAGGGTGCTCCAGGGCTCGGGAGTGGGACGCACTGCACGTATTTCCCTCCCCAATTTGCAGTTTCAGGACGCCACCTTTACCAGCTTTCCTGTCGTGCTCACCGTTGTCACTTTCTTTTTGATTCCACCTCTCTACCTTCCCCCACCATTTTCCCATCCATCGCTCTCGCTATCCTTGGCCCCCTCTCTACTTGAGTTGACCTTTGACCGTCAAATTACTGACTTCGGGTGCTAACCGCAGTACCAGTTCTATCCAGTGAATGGACCTACAAGCTCTCACGACGAATCGTTTGGGGTCCGGAGGAAAGCAGAATCTCTTTGCACCAACAAAGAGCGTCTCGGAGAGCAGTCTTTGGTTAGAAAATCGTACCAACGAGGTTGCCGACTCGATACAGAAAGGCGGAGGGATGGGAGTTGCGGGAGGTTTGCACGGCGGGGCTGCCAAAGGTGGACGGAGAAATTTGACGATCGAAACGAATCCAAAAAAAGACTTCAAAGACGATGTATGTCTGATCACGACCCCCGCCTACTATGAGATTTACCGACCCCCGCTAAAGTAGAGATATGGGAGATACTGACTTGGGGGCTTGGGTTTGCAGATCATTGACGACCTTAACAAAGACCTCCAGAAGCTACAGAAATGCGTCACGTGTGTTATCTGTCATGATATGCTGTTCGAGCCTTTCTCTCTACAATGCGGTCATGTATTCTGCTACACGGTATGTGGTACTCTGGATACTTTACTCCCTCGGAGCCCTCCGTTAGGCTGACAATGGTTTTGAACAACCTAGTGTATGGTGGATTGGCTAGGGCTATATAAAAAGAGAACTTGTCCAGAATGCCGATCGGTTGTCAAAACCCAGCCAGCACCAGCTTATTTGGTAAGCCTTCAAGTCGGGAATATTTCGACAAGAGTAATTGCTGACCGCATTGGATCTGGATCAGATTCGAGATATGATTGAGACTTTCGTCCATAGGGCTGAATTGACCTCTCCTCATGGCACTGGCTCGGAGCTACGGAAGCAACAGCGGGAGGCTCTGGCAGCTATCGAAAGGGATAGGGCTGCGGAGGGCAAGGAGACTGGTGGTTTATTCAAGGGCATGTTCAAGAAAAAGGGGCCGCGTGGGCTGCGTGGTTTCATGGATCCTGCGGACGGTGTTACAAGGTGTCCGACCTGTAACTGGGAAGTAGAGGATGGCCTTTGTACCAATTGTGGCGTGGGGGTTCGTGAACCAAGGGGCCATGTTTTCTCTGATTCAGACGAGGATGAATCCGACGAGTCTGATGATGATGATGATGATGATGACTCGGGTGACTCGGGTTCGGACAGCGCTGATCTGAGCAATCAGTTCGGCCACGATCCGGAGCAAGAGTTCGATGATGAAGAGGACGAGGATGAAGAAGAAGACGAAGATGATGAAGATGAGGAGGAAGACGAGGATGATGAAGAGGGCGATGAGTGGCAAGACGAGGAGGATGTTCCCGTGTATAATAATGTGGGCCCTCCGGGAAGGAATGCCGGGTTTCCGGGCCCACATGCTACAAATCGGTCACAGGTGCATTTCCACCAGATCCACCACTCGGGGTCCAGCAGAAATATTCCTACCTCCCAAACCGCTAGCCAAGAGTTTCACAGGGGTGACGAGTTCAGGATGTTCCCTTCAAGCGGAACTGAAGGGGCGGGCAGGAGTGATACTGAAGGTAGTTTAGCGGATTTTGTGGAACACGACACACCCGAAAACCGTCGTCGATTGCAACGGGGAAATACAGGGAATGGCAATACCAGAGTTATCCAACAAATTACCATTAATTCATCGCCCATTCTTATCTCATCTACCCCGGCCAGTTCCTCCAATGTGCCTCCGAGGCGACGCGGAAGAAGGGTTGTCATGGAAGACGAGGATGAGAATGATTCATCGTTTTCCAGTGCCGCTCCCGGCCAGGCAGCGTTGAGAAATACCAACGATTTTCCATCGTGGCCGGAGGATGACGTTCAACAGTTCGGATATTCGCCGTTAGGGGAAGTGACGACCGCTAGCGAGAACGATGATGATACCCTCTCAAGCCCACCAGGTCGGAGACTCCGACGCGGCGGACCGCCTAGTAGTGGTGGGAGCCGCAGTGTTCCCAGTGTTCCAGAGGAAGATGAAGAATCAGGCTCTGGTAGATTTGGTGATGACGATGATAGTGAGGATGAAGATGGTGATATCATCATGACTGGCACCCGGAACAATGCGAGGAGGGGTGCCAATGGTAGGAGAACTCAGAATAGGGGTGGAAATCGCACTCGGCCCGTTGAAGTTCAAGATTCAGATAGTGACTTGGACATCCAGCCAAGACCGGCAAGACGAAATGGGAGGGGTAACACTTCATCCAGTAACCGCTCGATACACGGCCGGAATGCTGCTGGGAATAACAGGTCGACCAATTCTCGCGGCAGGTTCAACCCTAACTTGCAGAATATATTTTCTGCCCACCATCAACAGAGAGAACAGACGCAGTATGATGCCCTGGCAAGGTACAGTGTTAGCCCGGCAAGAAGCATTACCCCTGTTCAACGACAACACACGGGCGAATCTAGGAGAAATTCAACTCCACTCAGAAGCATGGAGCAGAGCAATCCACCCATGTCACCCTTGATTCGTTTGTCGAACGACCCCCCAACCCCGGCGTCCACCCAAAGCCATTTACCGCCATCATTATCTCTACTTTCCCCCATGCAGAGCCCTGTTCAGAATTCCCGTCAATCTCGTGCCGGCGGACTCGGGCCTCCAGCGGAACACCAGATCATTAATAATAGCCGCCCTATCTTGAGCAATCCGCCTTCAGATATGCAACAAGCTCCAAGAGCAGGCTCCATGGTGTTTTCTCCCCCCGGGCTGAGGGTTAGGGGTAGGAGCTCTAGACAGCAATTACGGGGGACTTCGAGCAGGGCTGGGCTTCGCGGTGGAAGCATTACACCCACTCAATCCTTAACGACTAGCAACCTTGCTGCCCGCCGCCAAAATACTGTTAGTTTAGAGCGGGATGCGATATTCGCCAGAGGGGCAGCCGCTATCGGAAGAAGGCAGCAAGCCCCCCCGAGAGATCCTGCGGGGACACAATTGGGGCGCAGAAACAGTCGGATCTCATTGAACCCAAACACCAACCAATCGCAGAGCCAGGTTCAGAGCCAGTCTACTGCGGCAGAAACATCCAGAGTAACTACCAGAGGCGGACAGCAAGTGGGTTCAGCGTCGGGGCGAATCGGAGTTCCCATAGCTAACGGACCGGTTTCGCAATCAAGCGGAGGACCTCTGTGGGCTCTTAGTGGCGATGATAGGTGATGAATGCGATTGGAACAATAATTTTCATTTCCATTGATTTTGCTTACGGTGTTTCCTTTATGCATTGGGTGGTCTTGGAAAGAGGGACTGGGATTTTTCAGTGGTTCCTATCATCATTACCTAAAAATCCCTTTACTTCCTTTCTTTATTTCTTATCTCATACAACCCCCCCGCTTGTCATTTTAGCTTAGCTACCTATATTTTTTTTTCTTCTCTTTTTTCTCGCGCCATCCATCATCTGGCATCATGCCCATAAAACAGCTCCTTCTATCACCCTCGATGTGAAAACAAAAATGAAAGGTGAATTCGGAGGGGGGGGAGAGGAGGTGCTAGGATAGGGAGCATGCAGTTGCCTTTTTTTTTGTTCTTTTACTCTCGTTTTTAGCTCTCCCCCCCTGATGGATGTCGTGTCTATTGTTTCCTCTAATACTTTTTTTTGATGCTTTATGCATTATGTAGGTACGATATTATGTGTGATGATCTGTTTGATAAGTAAACTTTCTTTTTTTTTCTTTCTTTTCTTTCTTTCCTTCCCATGATAAATATGATATCATATGATTCCTGACTTTATCGACCGTGATCATAAATGGTCACTCGAGATCAGGCTTCTGCTGTTTTAGCTTTTCGTCGTACCCATCAAGTTTGCCGTCTGTCATCTGCTGCCTAGAGTCTATGTATTATTCAAAACCTCCGCTCACCACCTAGAAAAAGTATCATGATGAATAAAAAATACGGAAATTTTACAAAAAACGAACAAAGCGATACTATCCCTATCTATCCATCCATCCGCCTACTCCTCATCCTCATCCACAATCCCGGCAGCCCTTCTCTCCACCCTCATCAACTCCCTCTTGCGCAGAGCAATCCTCTGCTGCGCGCCGCGCTTCTCCTCACGCAGCTGCGTGTACACCCAAAACAGCCACATAATCTCAACGAAACCCCAACTAAACACGAGGCTGTTCTTGACGGGATGCGTGGTGACCGTCCCACGCGGGCCACGGTAGAACCATGTGTACCCCGTCAGGAGGAAGAAGAAGGCGAGGCGCACGGGTGCTTGCGCGTCCCAATACCCACGTGAGACCTCCTCCGCGCTAGAAACAGCGACGAAGTCGCCCACCGAGTGGAGGATGAAGACTAGTCCCAGGAGGGAAGTTGCGAGGGGGTTCAGGTGGAAGGTGGACTTTGGGTGTGGCTGTGAGGTGAGGTTAGTATCATAGGGTGGCGGGGGAGGGGGAGGGGGAGGGGGAGGGTTATACTAGGCCTAGGGATTCACCCATTATAAAGATAAAGTCTTGTTCCGCTATTACGCGGGGGTTCGTTATTAACAGGTAACCGATTGTTAGGTGTGCAGCTATGTACATTCGAATGAGGGTGTATGCGCTCAGGATGGCCATGGCTGTTGTAAAGGGTTGGTGGTGGTTTAGTTTGTACTCGTACAGTATAACACTGGCAGAGTGGAATGGTTGGAGCTGCGGTGGAGGGAGGAGGAGGAGAAGGGGGTGTAAGTTGATGCCGATACCGTGCCGTCGGTATGATATGATATGATAACGGGCAAGCTCTCGGGAGACTGTCGATTAGCGTTCCGGCTCGGGTCGGTCACGTCACTTTTAAGGATTTCCTGCAAGGATGTGACTTTTCGTGACTGACGGACGGGGGGAACTTTTGTTTGTTGAGCCCCATTAACTTGATTTCCATCTAAAGCTTACCCGGCTTATTGTAACTTATGTAACTCGATGCAGAGGGCCCTGAGTTGTCCGTCCCTGAGAACGGAAGGATTCACCCACCCCACATTTTTTTTTCCTTTTTGGCTGGGGTTGGGCCTTGTAGGAACTTTTTATGCCACCTGTTCTGTTCCGCCCCGTCCCTGATTGCCGCTACAGAAAAGCTCTCATACTATACACAATCTCACCCCCACCACACCTTGAGCCAGGATAAGGTGAACCGATTTTTTTGATTTTTTTTCTTCAACGCACAAGGGAAGAAAGGAGATAAGGCAGATGACTACCCCGGCTGAACGCAAGAACCAGCAAGTCTGGGATTCGATCGAGGCGGGAGCACTCAAGCAGGCGTTGCAGCTATGCAATCGACGTTTGAAGAAGGGGGAGAAAGGTGATTACTTGCTGGTGAGATAGATTATTACCCTCCTCCCCTCAAGCCATCCGGGATTTCATCAATTGATTAGTCGACTTCTCGCAGACTCTGAAGGCTCACACCCTAACCCTCCTATCTACTCCCGCCGGCACCTCCGAAGCTCTGCAACTGGCGCAACAACTCTCCTCGAAAACCCCTGTGATCGATTCGGTTGACTGCCTCCGCCTGCTGACTCGCGTGTGGAACGAGCTGGGTGCCGCGCACACGAGCGAGATCTCGCAACTCTGGGAGCGCGCCGCAAAGTCCCGACCGAAGGACGAAGCCCTCGCGCGCGAATGGCTCTGGGGCACGGTTCGTAGCCTCGACTGGCGCGGCGCGCAGAAGGCCGCGATGAGTTTGCAGAAGGGTTTCCCGGGGAGGCGCGAGTACTGGTTCTGGGCCGCGGTCACATGCTTGCTGTTGCACAACTCGCTGCCGGAGATGGCACCGGACAGGAAGCTCTTTGGCATGCTGGCGTACAAGATGGTGGCCAAGAGCAGAGATGACACCCCGCTTGATACTACTGTCGTCCCGCCTAGGGCTATACAGACCTCGCAGGAAGTTACCCTTATGCTTGAGTTGTTGGCGTATGTTGCGCCCCCCACGGCGAATAAGGAGGCGCTCGAGTTGCTAGATTCGAAAAATTTGGGTGTGGATTCGAAGATTGGTGGTGGCGACTGGTGGGGGCTTGCAAGGAAGCGGTTGGAGGTGCTGGAGGAGAGTAAGGATTGGAAGATGCTTTGGGAAGTGTGCAAGGAGTTGGTGAAGGATAAGAAGAAGAAAGAGGATGAGGCGGCCCTTACGGAGAATGGGGGGGGGGGCAATGGGGAGGGGACTAATGGGGAGGGGGATCCAGCTGCGAAGAAGGATGGTGCTTCCCCAGATGACGAGGTCGCTACAAAGGGCCGTGGCGATGACTGGCTGATTTGGGAGCGGTTTGTTAAGGCAGTTGGAGAACTGTGGAGTAGTGGGGAGAAGGAGCCCGGGAGGGCTGCGCTGGAAGTCATCCTTACACATTGCACTGCATCTGCTACTGCGAGAAATCCTAATCTGGCGCTAGTCAAGTTTTCGTCAGTATTCCATGACGAGCACGGGGGACCTGAAGGTACACCAACTTTGCTGGAAGCCTGTAAGGAGTACTTTGCCAAGACTGGCACTAAGAGCGCCTGTTTCGAGGATCTAAAAGTGTATCTGGAGATGCTTGAGGAAACTGAGACTGAAGAGTTTTTAAAGTTTGTTGCAGAGCGTATCTCGGAGATGAGCGAGGAAACAGAGGTACGCCTGAGATCAATGTTTGGGCAAGAGTTCGAGATGTTAACCCGGTCCAACAGAAAGTGCGGATTGAGCGGGTCGCTGCAACGATCAATCATTACAAGTTCATTTATCTCCTAACTATGTCACCGATAAAGCCTCCGTTGACTGAAGAGGTTGTTTCAAAACTAAACGAGTTCATTACCTCTGCGATACGGACCTACACATCTAGTCTCTCCCTTGGGCACAATCTACTTCCAACGGATACTCAGTATGGCGATGACGCCGCCTTATTATCAGTAATGGGCCTCGTCCGGCTTTCTACACTATCCGACCCGCCATCACCGATTCCTCTTTACCAGTCGGCAATCATCCTTAATACTCTTCTGCAAAAGTCCAAACACAACTATGAGGCTCTTCTGTTACTGGTACGGATATACCTCCTCCTCGGCGCAATCCCGCTAGCCATGGAGGTGTATCCACGTTTGAACATCAAGCAAATTCAAAACGACACACTAGCTCACTTTCTCCTAACCCGAATCAGCGTGCTGCATCCTTCGTCCAACAAGACAGAGCCACTGCTAAAAGAAGCCCTCAAGATCTACGAGACCAGTCGCATCCAAACTCCCGGTATGTTGGTGCTGGCCTACGAACGCGGTAGCTACGCACAAATGATGGGGTTCGTGGAATTTGCGGATAGGGTCTCGGGGAGCGTGTGTCGGGGGATGTGGGAGATTGAGAGGCGAAGGTTAGCACGACTGCGGCCGTCACTAGCCACGCAGCAGAAGAACGGAGAATTGATACGTGACGGCGACCAGAACATCTGGGACAACCGCGATTTTAGCGTCATAATTTCCTGCGAGCGGTCCACGCAGTCACCTTTCGAGGAGACCTTCCGCCTAGGCGCTACACCGGGCGAGAATTGGACAAAGGGCTTCTCGGCGGTGGAACGACTCGTCGAGCACTTACTCGACCCGACCCCGGTCGGCGGTTCAATCCCGGAGCACGTCCTATCAGTGCTATCCCGCATCCTCAGTGATGAGAAAGCGATGGTAGAATTCACACCGGTGGAATCGGAGTACCTCTCCATTATGCAACTGGCCGCGACTGCGGCCACTACTACCGAGCAAAACTCTCTTAAATCCACACTATCGAAAATCCTCTCCTCCCTACCCAAGCCTCCTCCGGCAGCTAGCATAGCCCCACACACGTGGGTCTACCTCCATACCGCAAACATGATCCTAGACCTCGTTGCAATCCTTCAAACGCACTTTATACCACACGTCAAGCAGAAGAAACTCACGAACGAGCTGTCCACTGCCCTCGGCGCGCTAAAGCAAGCCGTTATCGCGAATGCGGCCGCTCTAGCCAAGGAGATTGGGGAGGAGGAGGACAGTGACAAAGAGCAAGAACTAGTCGACGGCGTGCTGGCGCTTGAGGGTGTGGGGAAGGAGTTGAGGACGTGGGGGATCGAGAGTAGAGTCGAGGCGGTCAGAGCTGTCAGGAAGAGTTTGGCGGCTGCGATTACTGGAGTTGGGAAGGGGAAGTGAGTAGACGTTACGGGTTAGGTTAGATTATGTTGGGATAGATTGGGCGGGAAAAGTTTTTCGTGACGTGGGTCTCATTTCTCTCGCTTTCTATGAGGTGAGGGCGAGAGATGGAAGGTAACTTAAAGAGGATACACAAGCCATAAACGACTTCAAAACATGCACACCTTGTCATTTACTGTATGATGGGTGACACGTGCATATCCGAGCTATCCATCCCCATACTCGAGTACTCTCCCTCCCCTACTTGAACAAACAAAACAAGCAAACGTATTCCTACCCCCTAAAACTCGAATCCCTCATTTTGCACAACAATCACTCACTCACCACGGCACCGTAGTATCGTACAAGTACTATACACCCAGTGTCCTATATAGACTCACCCACCGCGCACTCGGAAACATAAACGCTAGCTCGCGCCACTGCGACTACGATACGATAATACATTACAGTTCCACTACAAATAGTAACCCCCCTTAACAAGCACAAGTACTAGGACAGACAGATAACCAAAAAAAAAAAACTACAGTATGATACCTTCTTCCCATCCCCGCATATATCACATCCACTCCGTTTATTGTGCTGGTAGGGTAACCGCCCGGATAAAGCAGACCCTTCACCTCCACCTCCATTTTATTTTATTTTATTTTTCATTCACAACTTTGGAAACTGCGCTTGACCTTCCTTCTTCTCCCTTGCTGTTCTCGCTCGCGCATGTCGGCTGATAGGCGTGGACGTCATCATCTGAAAAAAGAAAACAAACAGCATGTCGATGGTGGGGATTGCTGGCGTGAGGATGTGGGTTGGGTTGGTGAGTGAGTGAGTTTCGCTCCTGCGCACTTGTAGGAAGTGTTATTACCGTGAGGATGTGGTGGTTTCCGGGATTGGTATCGTACCCTGTCCGGGCGAGTAAAGGTATAATAAAAAAAAGAAAAAAATGCCATCGATGGGGGATTGTGAATTATCCTTTTCCTTTTTCTTCTCGGCGTTCGTTAGATATGGTACGGTAGAATATGCAGGAGATATATAGATGTCCGCGGTCGGTTTTTTTTTTCCCGGAAATACTACTATGATATTATCATAATATCATATCTGGAAGTCGAGTGATGCCACATGACTTGCCGTCTTCTTTCGTCGTGGGTTGTTTTTTTTTCTCTTCTTCTTTTTTTTTCCCTGGGTGAGGATTGCGCTGGGTGGACTACGAGTAGAGTGAGTGGCCCGTACCGTAGATAGTGGTGCTGTTCTGTAGATAGATGTAGTTCTTGTGGCGTTTTGTATGGAACTAATTACTTGTGACGCCATTTTCTCCGATTCGGTGATTGGGTGATGGTGATTGTCTAGGCATCGCGGTGGTCTTCGGGGGATTGGGATTTCAAGTTTTATAGTCTATATGGTAGTGTCATAATTATCATACCGCGACGGATGCCATTGTTGGTTGCCACTTCCCGCACCAAAATTGTCGGGGATTTTGTAGGGGGGTGGAGGTGTGGTGTGGGGAGGGATGATCCGTCTTCGCCATAGTCTACTCGAGTAGTCTACGGAAGAAGCTGGATTTTGTGTAGACTAAAGGCGGGAAATAATACATGACTGCCAAGCGCCCCTTGGCCCTAACACGATACCCTAACGAGCATAGGTATAACCTCCAGTAACCTATTCCAACAGATTTGCGTATCCTCCATAGGAAAAAACAGGAATTCACAACTTGGGGGCCTTTATTTTTATTTTTCCCCCGGTGGGGGGTGAATAGGTTGGAGTGAGGGCTTTTTCAGGAGTGAGGAGGAGGCGATGGAAAAGAGAGGACAAAACGAGCGCACTGCCCGCCGATTGCCGACGGCAAGATTTCTGAATATCTACAGTAGTGGGGTGGCCGTGGTGGGGATATTGGTAGCAAGGAGTGGTGCAAGAGAGAGGATTTGGAAACGAGTTACGAATTGCACAAGTGTATCTGAAGTCCTTTGGGCAGTTTAAGTTGATGGTAATTTAGGTCTGTGGCGGGGGGGGGATCTATCTATGGCTTATTATTGTGACCTAATTTAGTACATTGCGCCCTGCTTCCGGATCGGGCGCAAATTCTTCATATCATGCAATGTTGCTTAGGGCCTGATTGGATACGACCGCTCCGTCTTTCGATACAAAATGACCGTTACCCAAATGGAAGGGTAACAGTATTTGTTTGTGAGAACGGAACAGAACAGCCGTATCCAAATCGTCCCTTACCCGTTGTATTGTACGATATAATTCAACCCTAGCTATTAAGCCTAGTGGAGAGTTGGAGCCAAAAGAATATCCGAGTGAGACCTCATGACAGCCCCAGGAGGGGATCTTTCTACACGACGCATTCTATACCATCCCGGTGCGCGGTGTTCTGCGGACCTAACCAACAACGTGCGGTGCCTTCTACATAGACCTTCGGCACACCGTCTCCACCTAACGCATCCCACGCTAATCTGTAGGAGGGGGGATGGCGAAGATGAGATACTACAACCCTGGGAGCTCTAGGGAGTGCTGGTATTTTGTAGACAACTTGCCGGTATGTGATCCCGTCTGACTGCGTGTCCGTTGCGAACAAGATATGTTAACCTTTATTTTTATTTGTATTATAGCTCGACATGAAGGGGTCTTGATGGGTTTTGGTTTTCATCGGTATCGTAATACCGGTAGGACACTGTAACCGTTGACTGGGTGTGGTTTGTCTACAGTGGCTTTGTCCCCCGGGGCGCCGTGGTTGATATGGCCAAGCGTGGCCTGCACTGCCTAGTTGCCCTTATGACACGAGCTAATCAATCCGTTCGTACGCGCTGGAAATCAGAAGCCCCCCCAGGTGAGGAACCAGATCTCCATAGGCCCATGGCTAATCCCTGCCTTGTGAATGGTCGGCCACAACCTCCGAAGAGGGGATCCAGGAATTAAACTCAGCACAATGGGCCGGATAGCTTTGGGACTCGGCTGCGATATCCTCTTCCACGCTGGCATCGTGGTATCGCCCTTTGACGATGCAGAAAAATCTGGTGAAACCAACCATCTCCGTTAGCACTGCAATCTCTAGGCTCAAAGGCGGAAGCTCCCAAGAAGGGTTTGTGTTTTTTTTTGATGGGGCAGACTACGAGATTAGTCCACCGGGTGCGTTGAATCCATTACCCGTACTATATTCGTAATTCCATCCAACCTGTCAAGCTAAACCTATCGTGGGATGACAGCCGGATTTTCAACTGACAATCTGACAGTGGATACCACGAGGCTTTGCGATACAGGTACTGCCCTACAGTAATCACAGCTTTGCTGGGGTCGTGGGGGCGGGGGTGAGAGTAGACGCCGCGAGCCGCGTTCGATCATGCAGTCATTAGCCGGAGCCCACGGCTGTCGAAGGGGATACGGGGAATGGGGCTGACGCGAGCTGCTGAGCTAAGGATACTGAGGGGCAAGTAGCGTGGGGCCCGGAGGGTAGGGTGGGGGAGCCGCCGTACCCCTCACTCAACTGAGCACGAAAGACTGCCGGGCTTTGCCTTCGATAGAGGGTTTCCCGAGTGAATTTAGAAGGGTGAGGGAGTTTGGGAAAAGACCATGGGCCGCAGACCATTCTAGTCGATCATGCAGGTAGCCCATTTGAATCGCACCGTAATGCGAGTACGAGTGGATATGGGGAAATGGCCTCTCAGAGGGTCGCAGCCTGGCGTAGCCTGTCAGTTCTCCGTTTTGTGCGTTGAGAAATAAGATCTAATGTGTTGAGAAGTGTGAACCATGGGGCTGGTTGACCGCCGTGACTCAAGCCTGAACTTTTCAAATCCGAGCCAGAAGCTGGGGGGGGATGGTTTAGATTTTAGGGGATTTAGAAGTTTGTGCGGACTTTGCAGTCAGAATGTGCCAAGCCCGCTTCTCAACTCCTTCCGGGTTCCTTGGGGGGAGTCCTCCAATGAGGGGAGAGAAGGCACTGTCAATGACGCCAGAAGCAAAAGCACTTTTGAGTGCTATATCGTGATGTACGGAGTAAGGATACGAAGACGGAAATTGTTTGATGGGCCGGCGATGATGGATAATACTACAACCCAAGGGGAGAAAGTGCAGGCGGATTGAAAAATTATGACTCGCATGGGTGCCTTGGGGCAAATTTAGGTGAATGGCGTGCCGTATGCCGTATGCCATATCCCCTCTCCTCTTAAAGCGGGGTTGGAGGGCACTGTGCCGGTACCGGTACCGTGCCCGTGCGCTACAAGTATCATCTACCGGGCAGGCTAAAAGTTATCGGTAGCGGTCGCTAGTGCCTAATGTGCGAGTACTGTACCGGTACTGTCTCGTATGATCAGAGTGTTTTTTTTCTCTTTCGGGTGCCAAGTTTGTTTCGAGTTGATCTGTCAGTTTTGTAAATTCATCATAGGTTGAAGGGGCTACCCGCACACCAACTCTCTGGACTCGGAGAACTTTGCGTAACCCTTTTTCCACCCCGAGGCTGAATACCTCTGACAGGCGTTGCGGGGTAAGCTGACCCGGCGAGTTTAAAGCTGGCCCTTTTGCCCCTCTCGAGGGAAAGGTGGTCTCCAGGCTTCCCAGTTCTTTGATCTCTCTATTCTTTCCCGCCCCGTCGAGAATTGTTTTTTTTTACGGATGTCGGAGAAGGGTCGATTACCCGGTCGACATCATCTGATTCACTCACTCCGGGGCCATTTTTCACCGCTACGGTATGCTCCGGGAATGTCGTTTACAGATTGATGCCTCTAATCATTCGTGGGAATAGTTGTGGCACCGGCACCGCAGCCCATAGCCATTCGATGGTGACCGTAACCGCGACTCTGGTCCGAGTAGGGCTAACCGCGGCAACACTACCGCCCCCGCCGGCAGCCACGAGGACTCGAACCCGTCCCGGAACCACGCCGAAATGTACAGGCCCATATACCCCTACCGGTCGGTCGGGTTCATGAGCCAGTCATGTGGACGTGGACTGGGTTATCGAATATCCGAGTATAGAAGCGGCGGGAGAAAAAAACGTTGGTCCTCTGGTTACCGGCCTG